GCAGCCTTTAGTGAGAGGGAGGGAAAGAGAAGGTGATGTGGCCATTTGTCAGATCATGCCGTGGGAGTTGATGGCAGGAAAGATGCCTTAGCACTTGGTAATAGCCTCCCACGAGGACTTAGTATGACTCAAAGATGCCTAAGCAGGGCAGCTGGGTGGAACTGAAATGCTCAACCTAGCCACTTCAGTGATCATGCAAACCACCCTCTCCTGAGCTCCTGTCTGCTCTCACGTACTCGCCCAGGCCTTTCAGCCACTGAGAGTTCACCTCCCCCCCACCCCCCCACCCCCCCCACTGCCGCCCTTGCCTTCAGCAAACACATTTGTGCATGAGGTTCCTAGAATATTTACTTTCACTTAAGTAGGAATTCAAACTGGTTGCACTTCTTGCCCAACAGTTACTTTGCGCTCTCTGGTAACCCCTCTACAGGTAGAATGGAAGGACACCTTCCCTACAGGTGGTAATTTCAAAAAGAAGCTGGCATCAACCAGGGCTGCACTGCAACCACGTGTATGTAAAGGCTAGAAAAGAGTCTTCCACGAGTTGTCTGCTTGCCTGGACCCCCACACCAAGTCAGCAGAATTCTTCTAGTGAACCAAAGCCCATATTTCGTGAACTTTGTCAGCTTACTCATGCTACAACTCAGTTATTTTCTGCTCGGTTCCTCGTCCTGCCCAACTTTAAGAAAAGCACCACATCTTGAAAATCGAGTTAAGTGTATTTCTCACTAGGTCAAGATGATGTTTGGTTTTCAGAGTCTTCATGGGAAAGTTACTGCCCAGCAAAAAGTGCAGCCAGGAGCAGTTTCGGTGCACATAGGCTAGGCTGGCTCAACCTTGATTTGCTACTGTCTTTCAAACACTTTGAACCCCACCCCAACCTCCATCCCCATGTCCCAGAACAGAGGGACACTCCTGAGAGGAGGCTGGCATATGGCCCCTGAGTCACTGGAGTCACCATCATGCTATAGAAGATGGCTTTCATTGCCCTGTCTGCGTCTTCTGGTCTCCCTGTCTGGTTCCTTTGTTGGGTTTCTTTATGTTTAGTTATTGCTAAAGTTGGACCTTCAGCACTCACTACTAAGCTTTCTGTATTTGTCCTGAGAGCACAGCCAGGCATCTCAAAGTGAACTCAGGTGCACTGAATCCGCCCCTGGCTTCAGTTCCTTGCTGAAGCACAGAGTAGCACGACCTTCCAGACCCACGCCCATCCTTCTCGCTCATTTTGCATCACCGTAGTACTGGAAGCACAATTTTCTTTTCTGCTCTTGCTTTTACAGGCTGTACCTGCTTCTACCACACCCAGAATTCCTGTTTGGTCTGGCAGAGCTCTAATATTGAGAGGTCAGAACCAGCCCTAACTCTGCGGAGGTGGGGAAACCCTGGAGATTCAGAGAGGAAAATTCATTACATCCCATTCTTGGGTTCCAGCTGGAGCAACCAGCAGGGAGCAGGACAAGTCCACACTGCCACCTAGAGGCGATACTCCCTAAAGACAGTTGAATATGGCCCTGCCTATTCTCATGCCTGTTTGTTGAGATAGAAGCTTCAACCCAAGGACACTGGCCTGGAGACTGGCCAGGAGTGAACTTAGTATCCTGGACTGCCATGAAGAGAAGAAACAGAAACTTGTGTGCTAAATTCAAGTCACTTCAGAGCACAGGAGAGGTAAAGACAGAGGCTAGAACTCTTTAGGGGATCTAGAAGAAAGGGGTCCTTGCATGTGGATGTGTAAGTGCACACGAAAGATCTTAAAGGGTAGGGAATCATACTCTGGGCCTGACTTAAATGCAAGTAAACACAGGCAATTAAAATTATCTATGACTTTATATTCTTCTGCAGTGTTTGAAAGTGCTTCTATCGAGGCCTTCTATAAAGTATAGGCATAGACTGCTTTATGTGATGAATGAAGCCACTTAGCTGTCTTAAACCCAGGGAAGCTCACCATACATCAGCAGAGCTGATCCCCCATGCAGAGCAGGAGTTTAGAGTTTCCCCCGGCTTCCTTCAGACGTGTTGGTCTGAAAGTGGAGGGGGGGGGAGGACTGTTCAACAGTGCTTCCCTATACCCTACAACAATGGCCTACCCCCACACCCATTGCCCCCACACTGCAGCCAGATTTCTGTGGCCCAGTAAAATCAACAACATTGGCTTTGTCTGTGAATCAGCATTCTCGGCTTTACTGAAGGGACAGTGGGTCCCTGATCCATTTGGTGACCCCAGGATGGCTGAAGAGTCAGGTAGAATCATCTATAGGCTCCTAACTCCTATGCCAGGGGTGATTGTGACTATTGCCAGTTAATTCAGTCAGGGATGTTGCTGGAAACAGCTATCCATGATCTCTTCTGTGCCTGTATGGCCTCAAATAAATCACAATAGGGCAGCCCAGCTTCCAAGGCTGAATATCCAAACAGAGACAGAATCATAGGAAGACACAGACTGACAGATCAACACCTCAAAAAAGGAAGATGCCACACATGCATGGGCACATGTGCAAACACACACACACACACACACACACACACACACACACACACACACACACACGGGGGAGGGGGTGTGGAATTGACACAAGATGCAGACAGAAACAGAGAACAAAGCCAGATAAAACTGAGACCCTCTTGTGACCCAACCTTGGAGGACATTTCTTGGTCTCAGGCCTATTGAGGTGCAGGGAAAATTAGTTCTTATTCTTGAGGAGCAAAAGGGAAGTTTCAAAATACTGCCTTAGCCACTTTAGGAAAGCACCATTTTCATAGTCTGCCATCTGATTAATCAGTTCCCATTATAAGTGCTAAGTGGCTTTTGGTAATACCCAGTGAAAAGAGTCTAGAAAAAGTAGTTTTCTCTGCTAAAGAGCACAAATGAAAAATAACAACTATTTGGTAAAGAAAAAATCCATAGTTCTATTTCAATGCTTTTCTCAGAAATAATCCACTCTCATTGTCTATTAGCTGATTCTACACTGTGTGCTTAATTCATGCTGAATCTTACATTCACCTTCTTTTCCTGAGTTATTCCATATCTAACTCATTCCCTCCCATCTCTAATATCCTATGAGAATAGATGCTGTCTGAAAGATTTCTTGGAAAAACTAGATTCCAGATTATGTGAGAACTGGGCTCCTTAAAATCTCTCGAGTATACCAAATCTCCATACATTCAAATTCCCTGAGCCAATCCTGGTCTTGATTACACTCAATTATTTCCTTGGGTTCAGAGAGACAGTGGAGATTTTAGAGTGATTTCTTGTAACTATTCCTTGTAAGCTACCCCCACAAGGACTGAACATCACTTCCACCTTGTCGTCTGCTTCCTGTACCTCCAACTTTGCAACAATCAGCCACTAAGCATCAAGTGAATGACAAGTTAAAATGTTTCAATTTTCTTTTGCATTAGTGTCACATGGTAAAACAACTAAAAATAGTCATGGAAATAAGCAGTGGACTTTAAATCTCACTTCTGCCCTTGAGCCCCAACCACTCACAGAGGTTTTTGGTAATAAACATGTGAAGAAGCTGCACTGGTTTACCTATGTTCTTGCTTCATGGTCAGTATTTTAACAGCAAATCATCCATATGCTTTTCTGTGAGTCTCTGGAGAGCTTCTAAACTTCTTTCACTGTCTTCTCGGAATTCCACTGTATTGATGATGTAGCCAGTCAGTCAGTCCCATATGCTGGGCAATTTGTTTGTTTCAATTCCCTAGAACACATAGGACATAGCCACATTGGACAACTTTTCCATGTGGGGGTGGCATCAGTTTGAATGGCAGCACATTTCTAGTTCATCAGTGTGACTTCAGGGAGCACAGAGGCAAGAGGCAAGTCTGCAAAGGTGTGTTGCTTTACTCATGCTTCACGATGTGTGCATGCTCCTGCAACTGTGCTGCACAGAAGGAAGGATGTCATGGCTACTGATGGAAACTCCACTCTGGTTTGCAAGACTGAGGAGCTGTCAGTCTTTTGGTGATCCATTTGCAAAGAAGTCTTGTTACATATACTAATTCAGTCTTCATGGGCATGTGTTGTGAATGTCACAGTCCTGATGCCTGCCATGAGAAAGAGTCTGGACTCACTAATAACTACAGGTTCTATAGAATTGTGTCTGTTTCCTTTACTAGAAAGGCACAGAAAGGTAAGAACGATATCACCTCTCAGATATGGCTCTGTAAAAGCTGAAATCCTGAAGTTCACAGTGCCCATGCTTTAGAATGAGGGCTAGAACAGGAAAGAACTAAGTCTTTAAGTCTTCTGTGGTACAAATGACCTCTTCCTTGCCCCAAGTTTGGAATTAGAAAAGATTGGTGACTCATGATGAAATGACTCAGCACTACATCTTCCTGAGATAGGCATTATCAAGAGTATGGCCACTTGGCCATCCTTATTGACATTTGATTCTGAAGTAGATCTTAGATACAGATTCTAAGATATTGTCTATAGCCTCCAAATTATAAGGAACTTGGAAGACAATTGAGCTCACAAAAGCTGTTACTTTGTTGAGTAAAAGTTTTAAAAGCATGTATTCAAACCTATGGGCTAGCCAGCAATCTCAAGTTCACATCAGGCCCAGAGCCCCCAAGGAATCTAAACACATACTCCCCACAGGTAAACCATGAAGGATGAGCAATAAGAGGAATTTGTCTCCTACTCTTCTATGCTTCTTTGGGCTCTTGAAGAACACAGTGATCTCTTGGTTTCTTACATAGAGACAACTGCACTTACCTGTAAAAATGGCTTGCAGATTTGAGATGATGGAAGTGAAAGGCCTGCCATAACAACAGAAGGAAATATACCTCAGTTTTTTTCTCTCATCCTCACCCCTAGCAACTTCCAACATGCTTCATGTCTCTCCTCAGTCCCCAAATCACCTACCTGCTACTAAGTAGCCCTGTCAGGTGGCCTGAGAAGACAATGGACTCACCATAAAGAAATATGTTTGAAATAAAAAAGCTGCGCCGGGCGGTGGTGGCACACACCTTTAATCCCAGCACTTAGGAGGCAGAGGTAGGCGGATCTCTGTGAGTTCAAGGCCAGCCTGGTCTACAAAGCGAGTTCCAGGAAAGGCCCAAAGCTACACAGAGAAACCCTGTCTTGAAAAACCAAAAACAAAAAAGCTGCATGGTTGGCACAGGAGACCACTTCCTAAATATAACACCAGTATAACAGACAGTGAGAGCAACAATTAATAAATGGGACCTCCTGAAACTGAGAAGCTTCTGTAAGGCAAAGGATACAGTAAATAAGACAAAACAGCAGCCTCCAGAATGGGAAAAGATCTTCACCAACCCCACATCTGACAGAGGGCTGATCTCCAAAATATATAAAGAACTCAAAAAACTAGACATGAAAATACCAAGCAATCCAATTTAAAAAATGGGATACAGAGCTAAACAGAAAATTCTCAACAGAAGAATCTCAAATGGCTGAAAGACATTTAAGGAATTGCTCAACATCCTTAGTTATCAGGGAAATGCAAATCAAAATGACTCTGAGATACCATCTTACACCTGTCAGAATGGCTAAGATCAAAAACACTGATAACAGCTTATATTGGAGAGAATGTGGAGCAAGGGGAACACTCCTCCACTGTTGGTGGGAGTTCAAACTTGTACAGCCACTTTGGAAATCAGTATGGAAGTTTTTCAGAAAACTGAGAATCAATCTACCTCAAGGTCCAATGATACCACTCTTGGGCACATACCCAAAAAATGCTCAATCATACCACAAGGACACTTGCTCAGCTAAGTTCATTGCAGCATTATTCATAATAGCCAGAGCCTGGAAACAATCTAGATGCCCCTCAACCAAAGGACAGATAAAGAAAATGTGGTACATATACACAATGGAGTACATCAGTATAAAACAATGACAACATGAAATTTGCAGGCAAATGGATAGAACTAGAAAATATCGTCCTGAGTGAGGTAACCCAGACTCAGAAGGACAAACATGATATGTACTCACTCATAAGTGGACACTAGATATAAAGCAAAGGATAACCAGACTACAACACACAGCTCCAGAGAAGCTAGCTAACAAGGAAGATCCTAAGAGGGACACATGGATCACCCTGGAAGAGGGAAATAAATGAGATCTCCTGACTAAACTAGGGGTGGGGGGGGGGCAATAGAGGATATGAGATGGGGAAATAGGACCTAAGAAAATGGGATGGTCGAGTTGGAACAGGGATGGAGTGGGAGAGCAATGAAAGAGATATCTTGATAGAGGAAGGCATCATGGGGATAGGGAGAAACCTGATAAGGAAGTTCCCAGGAATCCACAAGAATGACCCCAGCTTAGACTACTAGCAATAGTGGAGAGGGTGCCTGAGCTGGCTTATCATGGTAATCAGATTGATGAATACCCTAACTGCCATCACAGAGCCTTCATCTGGTAACTGACAGAAGCAGATGCAGAGATCCACAGCCAAGCGCTAGGCCTAGCTCCAGGAGTCCAGTCAAAGAGAGGGAAGAGAGATTCTATAAGCAAGGGGCATCAAATATGATGGAGAAACCTACAGAGACAACCAAACCAAGCTAGTGGGAACTCATGAACTTTAGACCAACAGCTGTGGAGCCTCCATGAGACTGGACTAAGCCCTCTGCATAAGCGAGACAGTTGTGTAACTTGGTCTCTTAAAGGATCCCCTGACAGTAGGATCAGGATCTATCCCTGGTGCATAAGCTGTCTTTTTGGAGCCCACTACCTATGATGAAACACCTTGCCCAGCCTTGATGCAGGGGGAGGGGCTTGGACCTGCCTCAGCTGATTGTACCAGGCTTTGCCAACTCCCCATGGGGAGGCCTTACTTTTTCAGAGGAGGGGATGGGAGGTGGGTTGGGAGGGGGGAAGGCTGGGGAGTGGAATGGGAAAAGGGAAGAGAGAGGGATCTATTGTTGATATGTAAAATGAATAAAAAATTTCTTAATAAAGAAAAAAAAAAGAAAGAAAGCTGCATGGGCTGAACTTTCTGCCCTGAGTGGCTCACCTTCCAAGCTCCAAGGCAGAGCACTTTCTAACATATTCTTGCTCACACTGTGGGAAGCATGGAAGTGCCTGCTGACATTTGAAAGGTCCAGTAAACAGTTTTCTAAGCTGCCTGGCCAAGCAGAAACTGTTTTATTATTTGACAGAAAACACTGACATTCTACTTTATTTTAGACGAAACACTGGCCACACTACACATTAGTTCAGAGCAGTTTCTCAAAACACAGGTAGGTAAGGGGGTTACTGTAGGACCTTTGGTGAGCAAGTTAATTATGCCTAGATTTATACCCAAGTTGAACTCAATTTCCTCACACTGCTGGGAAGTTTTCTCTCTGAGTAAGGTCTTCCCCTTTTTTGCTAGAGAATAAATCAGAAATATCATGATATGGCATTATCATCTTGGAGGCTACATTGCCTTGAAAGCTAGGGGAGAGGGTTAGAAGTCAAACCCAAGGTGTCTGTACCTCAAATCCCAGGGTATCTGGCCCCTTTTTCTGGCCTCTGTGGGAACCAGACATGCACATGGCGCATAGGTCCACATGCAGGTAAAACACCTCTACATATAAATAAATAGTTTCCTTTTAATTAAGTTTTCCTGTTATTCAGAGGACTCTCATGTGTTGTTATGTCTCCTTTGGCTTCATAATGTTCTCTTTACACAAGGCCTTTCATTCATCTATAGCAATCATCCTCAAAGTCACACAGAAGAATCACATGAAGACTGAAAATGGGGGAAGGCTAGCTCCTCATCAGAGATTTAATTTTGGTGAATACAGAAAGTTGTGTTTAACACCAACTCCCCACATGATTCCATAGCTGCTGGTCCAGGGACCATTACTGAAATTAGTGTGATGGTTCCTCAAAACTAGATACAGAACTATGCAACTATCTCTATGAAAATATGTTGACTTAGGGTCCTTGGTGTAAATGTTTTACACACACACACACACACACACACACACACACACACAAACATACTTATATGCTGTTAGATCTGGCAATGATTTCCATAAGAACTATAAGCTAACCAGTATCAGGCATGAAAAATATCCTTTGGACTGGTTGGTCAGGGTAGTCCAAGTGATTCCCAAAACAATATAGACTACAGCTAATGCCTTTGGTTGCCTCTCACAGGTTTAAGGTAAGTCCCTATTGCTGAAGATACCACATACTTAGGACACAGAACTTACATTATTCTTACTACATCCAACCTGAAAGCCTCCTACCTGTGGCTGAGGTTCAGTGGTACCAGAAAATACTCAGCTATGATACCTATGAATCACAGCAGTGACCAGAAAGGCAAGATATTCTTAAAAGTGCAATAAGTGGACTTATATGTTAGTGGTAACCAACAGCTGTCTAATTCAATATAAGACCCACTCAATAGGAGGCAAACCAAGTCTGGTACTAGATATCTAGCCAACCTCCTCAGCCCAGTGAAGTCATGATCTTATGGATCTTTGAGGAGACTCTACTTCGCAAGACCAGTATAATTCCTACCTACATTTAGATCTCATCCATATACCTAAAGATAAGTGTAGCTACCACTGTTCATCAAGGAAGCTTCTCTTTACAGCAATGGCGATCAACACACAAAACCACAAGAAACCACACTTGGAAACAATGCAGGGATACAGTTGAATTTTTTCTGGGTTTTGACCTGATTCTTTAGGACCTAACACTCAAAGGTATCTAAAGGTTTCAACCATATGGGTTTAATTAATATTTTCTAGTTTTCCCACAGAAGGATAAATAGCAAAGATTCATTTTCAATGTTGTATTTTTAAGATATAATCATGTATCTCTCTCCATGTGAGTAATTTTTGAAAAAAAAAAACATGCTCATGGACATTTGGTAAATAAAGCCTATGCTGTTACACAATAATCTAATCTACAACAAGGAAAAATAGTGTTAAAAGGGCCAGGCTGCTGTGTAGGACTATAGTTTTTATTCAGATGCTCTCCAAAGGTGTTATGTTAAAGGCTTGGTCCCAGTTTGGTGCTATTAGAGGTGTTGGGATCTCTAAGAGATGGTGCCTGGGTCTTAGGTCATTTGATACGTGCCCTTGAAGAGGAGAATAAGGATACAGTCCCTCCATCTCTTTTTTTTCACATTCTGACCAAAAAATAAGCATTGTTGGAACCTGTTTTTTCACAAGTCCAAAACAGCAAGGCCAATAGGTTATAAGCTACAACCTGCATACCCTACATCAGAATAAACTCTCCTTTATAAGTTGGCTGCCTTGTATATTTTTTCTTATTGTATCAGAAATCTGACTGATTAACAAATCTTGTTGGCCTGGTACCCAGTGAAACCCCCACCCAATAAGCATAAAGTGTTATTAATATTTCTATGGTTCTGATATTCTGTTAGCCACGTGTCTATCAAAACAGATGGGAGCATATAGCTTTACCTAGGACCAAGAGAAGGAGAACTCCTTCCCAGGTAAAGAGCTCACCTCCATTCTCCCTTGAAGGACAAAAACAGAAGGGTCTAACATGAATACCCTAGCCTCGTCCTATTAGACATGAAGATGACTTTGTGCCATTGCCTTTATGTAGATGAATTTTTAAACAGTCTTATTAAATAAGAAACACAGAGCCAAATACAGAAATAATAGCCAAGAAGCTCAGAGGGAATAGCCATGACTAGCCTTAGCTTACCACCAGCAATAGCTTCCACACAGAGTTTCTTCCTGTCTGACCTATGCGTTTATTGCTTTCCTGTTCTGCCTTCTCATTGGCTCTAAGCCCAGCCACATGACTTCTTCATCACTACCTGTCTATACAGACCTCCAGGTCTCTATGGTTGGTACTGGGATTAAAGGCTCGTGTCACCACACTTGACTGTGTCCTTGACCACACAGAGACTCTGAATGCCATGTGATCAAATTAAGGGCATGGGCTACCACCGCCTGACTTCTGTTTATGGCTTGCTGACCTCTGATCTCCAGACAAACTTTATTTATTAACATACAAATAAAATATCACATTTCACACAAATAAAGTATCACCACACCTTTAGAATAATCACATTGCATAATTTTTCTAGTAATGTTGCTGAGCTCACACTTAGCCAAATACATCCTGGCACTCAATACTCATCTCTCACCCCAGGCCCAAAGTTATGTTTCTGAAAAAGAGTGACTCCAAATGATATTGAAAGCAATTGTATTAGTCAGCTATACTAATTTCAATTGGTAGAACCAATTAGCAGAGCTAAATTCTTTGAAAGGAGATGTTTATTTGAGTTCACTTTTGAAGGTCTCAGTCCATGGTCATCTGGCCCATTGTCTTCTGTCCTATAGGAAGACCCCACACATGGTGGGAATAAATATCAAAGCAAGCCCTCACTTCACTGTGAGTGAAAAACAAAAAGAGAAGAAGAAATGGTGAGGGTACTGTACTCCAATAGTGTCATATACTGTCAACCAAGCTTTCGATACATCAGTTGAGAGGGACATCCACCCAAATTTCAGCACCAGTGGAATGCAAAAACTTATCCTTCAAGTAGTTCTTTTGAAGAGATTGGAAAGAGGGAAATTATGAGCAAGTTCACAGACATTACAATGGTGTAGGACTGATAACACTTAATAGGCACCAGCCATGGGCCCATGCCCATAATTATTATTTCCTCTCCTAGTGCCCTGTGATTGAGGCAGTCTTCAGCTCTTCTCAGTGAGTGGAGGAAAAGATGCTGTCACCCCAAACATATGAGGGTTTAAAAGTGAGAGTGGTCCACTTTAATGTATAAAGTGAGAACATTAGAGACAAGATCCAACAAGTTTGAGTATTATCCTGCTGTTTAATAGACATGAAATCTTCTAGATTCATACATTTAAATGCATACACTCTGGAATTTATTATAAGGTTATATTCCAATAAAGTTAAAAAAAATCCAAACTAAGCTGTCATAAATTTTGGACTTTCTTTACTATGAACTTCAGGTTTTCCTTTTTAAGATAGTAGACATTTATGCATACTGAGCAGATTTGTGAAAACAAAATTTAATATAAACAAAATTTACATGGGCATATTACATGGGCAGAAACTCTTCCATTATTTCCCATTTCAGAGACATACAAGTTGACAATTTAGTCAACTCTAAATTCTAGGTTCTAATTCAGCATGTCAAGCTCCAAAGCTCTGAGCTGTCCTTGTCCCCAGATTGTGGACCATGAGAAGACAATCTGCATACTTCGCAACCATGAGTTGTAAATCATTATCTCCAGCCTCCCAGGGCCACATACCATCATTCAAAATAAAAGGCATGTATACTGCCAAGATGGAAATAGCTATTTGGTTTTTGTGGTTTCACAGCTTTTCATAACAGTACTCAAGAGGAAACTGTATAGTATTAGAGCAGCTACTGCCATAACCAGAGTATCAGAAACTTCAATATCCACTCAGAAAATTGCCAATTCTCTTGGTTAGTGACAACTTAGGCCACTGCATCATATTGGCATGGTTCTATTCTTCATGAGAGATGTTTTCTCCATAATATTTTGAACAAGGGTTGCTGGACAAACAATTGTTATTTTTTCATAATATTTAGTCACAAACTAGGCTTTGTTTTTATTGATTCCAAGAGTTTCATGCTGGCCATGGTCTTCATTAAGCACAGACAAGTGTCTCATCAACCATTAACAATGACCTTTGCTTCTGGGTTTCAGTTCTTTCCTCTTGTTCTGATGTTCAGTGTCCAGAAACAGGAAAATGCTCCCCTAATAGACAGTAGTTTTTACTAATCCCTATGTCTATATCCAATTCGTCTAAGGCCATGTTAATTTAAATATCAAACAGACAGACAGACAGGCACACGCGCGCGCGCACACACGCGCGTGCACACACACACACACACACACACACACACACACACACACACACACCATGACAAGGATAACACACCATTAACAAGGATAACACATTTAAGTGTGTAATGTTTTAACTTACATAGTCCACATGATACTGGTGCACAATTCAAACACAATATTGAACTGGAGTATTTGAATATTCCAGCGGCTCCATCTCCTTTATAAGTTAAGATGCCAATTTATAACCTGTGAGATTGAAGGGAAACATAAGATAATGTGGCAAATTCCTCAATCCTAATGCACTGCCTCCTTCTCTCAGCCACTATACTACTGCTTTGTCTCTTCCCATAGCTTTCTTTGCTCCAGCTCTCCCCCTGCCATCCCTCTCTTCTCACACATTTCTTCTCTTTTTCCTTCCTTCTCTTCTCTTTTCTTCATCTTATCTCGTTTTTTTTCTCCCACTCTGTTTCCCTTCCTTCTTCCCTACCCCCACCCTTCTAATTTTAGCGGATTGCACTGCTTACCATGTTAGGTACTTTCCAGCTCACTCTTTCAGCCTCTTTCATTAAGGCTCATCATTACGCATCTCTTTATTTGTTCATGCTCGTTATGTGCATGCTGAACTAAAAAAAACCTGTCAATCACATACAACAGCACAAGCCAAAAAGAGACATTTATTGTACAGTATGCTACCATAGGCAAAATTTAACTCAAAAACAAAAGCAGATGGACACTTTAATTGGGAAAGCTGACAGCACACCTTTTGTTAAGTTCACTTCATAGAAAGTAATTATCTGAGTGTAGATCGAGCTTAGCATTGCATATAGTCACCAAATTTTTAACAGAATACGGTGGAGCTTCTTCATGCCTTTCGTCATTACTATGAAATTTATTATATAAATGTTCATCATATAGTTTTCTCCAAAAGCAATTGGCCCTATACAAATTAAGGGATGCAAAAATAAAGATTAACATTTGCCTGAAAGAAGTTGTCAAAAATATACCTCTGATTTGGTAAATTAGGCTTCCAACAATTATCTATGGTTTCAGGAGAGACAATATGGATTCTCTCTCTCCAAAATACTTCCCCACCTTCTCAAACCTACATTTAACTGCTTTATGAGACTCATTTAGATCACCAAGTCATAGACCACCTTCATCTGCAGTGTCACTGCTGGGTGGATCTGCTAGTGAGTTTTGTTGGTAACCCACAGGACACTCTCAAGCTTTTCCATTTTCTGGGCTTCCATTTGCAAGGACTCCCTTCACCCCTACACTTTCTCTGCATTTACCACACATTAAATAATTTATTTAACATCATGTGGGCTCATGATTTGATATAAAGTCAGAAAATCACATCTAGTGGTCATCTTCGTGTTGGTGTTTTCCCAAGATGGAATGAGAAATCTCATGGCAAGAGACAGAAGAGCATGAGGAACCTAACCAAACTGGCATTATAGCATATTTACTCTTGAGATATTAACTCTTTGTGAATTAATTAGTCTATTAGTCAATTATTTTCATGAATGGACTAATGTCCTCAAGGAAAGAACACCAACTACCTCTTAAGGATCCCAGCCCACCCCCTTGAGCATATATTTGCAAGTCAAGCAAATAGTCTACAGACTCTCCCTTCAGCATTCACCCTTCAGCTGCTAATGGTTATGCCAAGGAAACCTGTTTGTGGCATTGGATAGAAGTTTCCTACGGTACCTTCAGTGAACTTAGAACCATCTAAGGTGTAGAGGGGCAATAAGAGGCTTATTATGAAGCAGTCTTCGAATTCCTGAAACTTCTGTTTCCTTCAGAATATATCATCTCAACCCAGATGCAGGAAAAAAAAGTAGGATGATCTCTCTTATACACACAGTATTTCTTTTTTATTGAAGTAGGGTTTTTCACATATAATATATACTGGTTATGTTTTCTCTTTCCTCTACTCCTCCTAGTTCCTACCCTTCCATATGGATCCATTCCTCCTTTATGTCTCTTCTTTGAAAACAAATGAGCATCTAAGGGATAATAATAAAATGTAGTATGATCAAACAAAACAAACAAGTCAGAATTTAACAAAGCAAACAGAAGGTAAAGAACCCATGAAAAGGCAAAAGTAACAGATATAGATGCAGAGTAAAAAAGTTCACACATTCAGAAATGTCATAAAAAACACAAAATCAGTAGCCATGACATACACACAAAACACCCTTTAGGGTTCCTCTTCTACGAGGTGCCCTGAGCCTGAGGGGAGGAATTTAATGGTGACATCCTGTTGAGGGCTGGGTGTTCCCAGGTCTCTCACTATTTGCGTATTGTCTGACAGTGGGCCTCTACATTTGTTCCCATCTGCTGCAGGGAGAAGCTTCTCCGATGATGGCTGAGCTAGTCACTGATCTGTGATTATAGCAGAGCCATTAAATCATTTTATTGCTATCTTCCTTTTATAGAACAGTATTTGGTTTTACCCTATGTCCTGGCTGTCTAATTGTGGGAGCCCACAGTGACTTCAGCTCATGGCTTGATTCCATCTTGACTTAAGGTCAGAGAGTTCAAGCTTATTTTTGCTCCTTAAGCTAAATAACAATATGATTGGCCAAAGGCATGGTTACTAGATGTTTTGAGAATTAAGGAGGTGTTTACACTGCTTTGTTCCTTGAACCATGTTAAGGAAGTCTTTTACCCCCCTTGCTTTGGATATAAAAAGGCTATGAGAAATAAATTCTGGGCTGCTGCAGTATTCACTGAGAGCCCTCCTTATTTCATCTTCTGTCTCTTGTGTGTTTCTTTCTTAATCTTCACTCCCTGTTCAGGTACTGTTTGATAGGTCAGCAGGTCCTGACATCTAATCTCCGGTTCTTGGTCTGCCAAAGCAATTCTGTGTATTTATTGCATCTCATGGAGTGGGCCTTAAGTTAAATCAGATATTGGTTGGTTACTCCAACAAGTCTTGTGCCAATTTTGCATTGGCATCTTTTGCAGACAAGACATGAGGAACCGCCACACAGATTTACATAGTGGCAGTATGAATTTGTGCTCCCACCAGCAATGGATGAGAATTTACCTTATCCGGAATCCTTGCCAGCATACAGTCATTTGTTTTACTGATTTTGGTTGCTCTGGTAGGTGTAGGATGAAATATCAAAGTAATTTTGATTTTCATTTCCCTGATGACTAAAGATAATAAACTTTAAGTGCTCCTTAACCATTTGAATTTCATTTTTTGAGAATTCTCTGTCCAGATCTATACCAAAATTTTTAATGGGGTTATTAATTTGATACCCATTTTATACATTCTTCATATATTTTGTATATTAGCCCTCTATTGGATGGTATTGGATGCATAGGTGGTAAGAAACCTTTTCCCATTCTGTAGGCTGCCATGTTGTGCCCTTTACCATGCAGCATCTTTTTGACTTCATGAGATCCAATTAATAAACTGGTGATCAAAGTGTTCTGTTCAGAAAGTCTTTCCTTTGCCAATGAGTTCACTGTTGAACTATTCCATACTTTCTCTTCTATCAAATCCATTGTGTCAGGTCTTATTTTAGGGTCTTTGATCCATTTGGAGTTCAGCTTTGTATAGGGTGATGAGTGTGTATCTATTTGTATTTTTCTACACGCAACCATGCAGTTTGACCAGCACCATTTGTTGAAGATGCTGACTTTTTTCCAGTGTGTAGGTCTGGCTTCTTTCTAAAAATCAAACGTCCATATGTGTGTAGATTTATGTCTGGGTCTTCAATTTGATTCCATTGATCAATGTGTCTGTTTTTAATGCCAATACCCTGCTCTTTTTATTACTATAGTCCTATAGTATAAATTGAAATCAGGGATGGTGACACCCAGCACTTCTTTTATTATTCAGGATTGTTTCAGTGATCCTTGGCTTTTTGTGTTTCCATATGAAGCTGAAAATTGTCATTTCAAGATATGTAAAGAATTGTGTTGGAATTTTGATAGGAGATTACATTGAATCATAGATTGTTTTTGGTAGGATGTCCATTTTACTATATTAATTAATCCTATTGATCTACAAGCATGGGAGTTTTATCTGTCTTCTGATATCTTTAATATCTTAAAGTTTTTTTATCATACAAGTCTTTTACTTGCTTGGTTAGAGTTATTCCAAGACATATCATTTTTGAGGCAGATGAATAATATTCCATTGGGTAAATATAGCATTGTGTAAATATATGTATTTTCATTACATATTCATTAGATGGTGGATATCTAGGTTTTTTTCCTATTTTGACAATTATGAATAGAGCAGCAATATACATTGATAAACAAGTATTTGTGATAAGATATAGAGTCCTTTGGGTATTTCTACAAGAGTGGTATAGCTGGTTCTTGTGGTAGATCAATTTTCATTTTTTTGAGAAACCTCCCCACTGATTTCCACAATGACTTACACTAGTCTTCACTCCCACCAGCAATGAATAATTGCCACCCTTTCCCCACATCCTTACCATAATCTAAAGATCGTAAGGGGTAGAAGTGATGTAGTTCTTCAAGAAAACAATATTTTCCAGACACAACAGGACAGATGCACATATGAACCCACAGATACCATGACAGAATGCACAAGACCTGTACAACCTCAAGGCAGACAAAATCCCAGAATGGAAGAAGACAAGTGTGTGCGTGAAGTCCCACCACTAGCCAAAATGTTATTCACAACTGACAGCTTCTGGGAGGAATGAGAGTCAATTTTCTTCAATGAATTGGCATTGGATATATCAACCACACTCCAAGCTACACCCTATGTGCAGGAGTAGTTTCATTTTTAGTTGTTACTTTTATTTTGGTTTGGTTTGTTTGTTTGCTTGCTTGCTTGCTTGTTTTTCAAGACAGAGTTTCTCTGTGTAACAGCCCTGGCTGTCCTGGAGCTCACTTTGTAGGCCAAGCTGGCCTAGAACTCACAAGGATCCAGCTGCCTCTGCCTCCCTAGTGCTGGGATTCAATGTGTGCACCAGGATACCCAGATGTTGTTACTTTTTTTTTAAGAGAGAGAAAGAACATGAGTTTGGTGGGTTGGGAAGATCTAGTATTTAGGAGAGGAAAAAGAATATGATCAAAATATATTGTGTGAAATTCTCAAAGAATAAATTCAAATTTTGATGGGAGCTGTGCAGCCTAGTCTTGGATCAGCATATGACTATCTGTCCAATGGGTTTCCTCAGGGCAAGGCACCCGTAGAAACAGACTCTCACTTGGCAAGGACCAGTAGTCCACAGGACAGCATAGTAATTTGCAAACTTTATGCAGCTTGCAGGCTCTTTTCTCTCTCATTATATTGGTGATTTGGAGGTTATTTTTAGTTTTACTGTGTCAGTCATACATGCAATTGCTGTAATTTTCCCTGGAAATTCTGCTCTTTCTCAAATATTTTCCCCTAAGATTCAACAGGGGGTTAATGTTTCTCAAATCTCTTATCTGGAATTACTAACTACAATTCTCAATCTTGGGAATTTTTCTGGCTCAATAGAGACAGTTATGTACATATGATGAAACAACACTTAGAATATTAACCCTGTCTCACAGTTCTGGAAAGGAGAGTAGGGCATGCATACACAGAATAGGGAAAAGGCCTCAGGAATACACATAATGCCAACAGTTGAGAGTAAGTTCCCTGGACACCAAGCATAGAATCTTAGGTAGGATCTGGTATGCTCTAAGAGGACAAAATACAGTGCAAAATGTGGGATGGATAGATCCATCTTTACCATACATAGAAGCTCATATTGGTGGAAGAAGTATCATATAATGAGATGGGAAAAGAGTGCTTTATCAAGGTCTGCCTTTTACAGAAAGATTGAGGCATGGGACCCTCTTTTGGAAAATGGAACTGTATAAAAATATATCTTGCAGACGTGAAAGAATTGTTTGGGTTTTAATACTGTTGTCCTTAAAGCATTGTACCCATGTCTATTACTTTATAACTTTGCAACCTCAAGTACCTGCCAGCTGATATAAGTGCTCCAAGAGTAAGATGTATCTGGCTCGATATTTAGTTAAGCCTACAAAAATGCTGAACTCTTTGTCTAAAATAAGATTATGCAGGGGGTGGGAAGGTGTATTTGGAGAAGCATAAAAGAGAACAATTGTAGCAGGAATCTTAAAAGTTCTTATTAATAAAATCGAACCTGGAGCCAGGTATTGGGGTGAGGGCACCAAATGTAGATTTAACCATCTTGTTAAATAAGAAACACAGAGCCAATGCAGAGATGAAAGCCCAAGAGGTCAGAGCTAAGAGCTAAAAACCTTACCCTTCACTGCTGCTGCTGTCCTCTTCAGTCAAGAGAGCTACTTCCTGTCTGTTTGTCTTTTTTATAGACTTCTATTCTGCCTTCTCATTGGTTGTAAACCCAACCACATGACCTCCTCGTCACTGCCTGTCTATACAGACCTCCAGGTCTTCTATGGTTGGTATTGAGATTAAAGGTGTGTGTCTCCATGCTGGCTGTATCCTTGAACACACAGAGATCTGCCTAGCTCTGCCTCCCAAGAGCTGGGATTAAAGGCGTGCATCACCACCACTCAGCTTCTGCTATGGCTTGCTATTAGCTCTGACCCCCAGGCAACTTTATTTATTAACATACAAATAAAATCACATTTCAGTACAAACAAAATATCACCATAAACAATGGGGGCTTTTATAATGACCATGATGTATTACTTAAATTGTGATGTATTCCTTAAAGTCAAAAATAGAAGCCAGTAATAAAGCTGTTCATGTAAGAAAAACTCTATTTAAGTATAAATAAAGACAGCCTGAGATATTTGGGGCCACTTGAGTGCAATCCACTTGGTGGTCAGAAGTTTTCCTTGCTCCAACACCCCTTCTCTTTCTCAGGACCTGAACCCAAGTCAAGACTGGACCCCAGAAAAATATTATTTTTAAAAACCTGTATTAGCACACATATTCTCTCTTGTATGTGTAATTAGCTTTAAATTTAAGATGTATGCTCCTCTTCCATACTCTGTTTTTATAAACCTCAAATAAAGTTATATGCATACATACAAGTGTATCTGTACATGGGCAGGCACACACACACACACACACACACACACACACACACACACACACACACGCTCGCCCATGTGCACACACTCCCCTAGAGTCCACAGGGAACTGATTAAGACTCCCTGAAATATAAAAATATAAGAGTGCTCATCTCCCTTGAATGAAATGTCATAGTTATATATAATATGCACATATCTTAAATCATCTCCATCATTAAATACATAATATAATGTGAAGGCCATGAAATAGCTGTTATTCTGCATTATAATTAAACAAAAGTAATAGGAAAGGTCTGAATATGTTCAGTAAAGATACTATGCTTTCATTTTCTGTATTTTCTGTCCATAACAAGCTGATTCCATGAATGCAAACTATGGATAAGGAGAACTGACTGTCTTCTTCTGAATCTAGTTAGCTGCCACCTTCTGCACTCCTATGACCAATATCCAAACTGTCACCAACTCCCTCCATGAACACTTCAGGTAGCTCAGGAAGTTAGTGTTTATACAATAATTAAGAATATCCTTCAGACTCAAGCAAAGCCAAAAGTCAAGAAGCAACCAAGTTGTATCTTTTAAAAGTAAGGTCCTGACCACATTACCATTCTACTCAAACTTCTCCTTCAGCTTTGGTCCAAAGTCCCTCCTTAAAGACTCTGGCCTTCTCTTTCTACAGACCCCATCCTTCTTCTGATCCAGCTAGAAGTTGGCCAAACCAACTTGCATCCTTCAGGTGACTAATACACTGGACTCTTCATACCCAGGTGCATCTGTGAATCTTTGGTCCTCTGTGTCTTTGCAGTTCCTACCAAAGCTCATGCTAAAACATACCAGGAAGCAGACAAGATGGAATGCTGGTACCTAGATGAGTTCCAATTGTTATCCTTTTATCTATCTGGGATCCTCTACACATAGAATGGTGTGACCCACTGTGATATCTAGTAATACTTGACAGGATCTGGATTTATCTAGAGGATAAGCCTCCGGGAATACCTGTGAGGCATTACTTCAATTATGTTAGCTTATGGTCATCCCTGTTAAAGATTATTTTAATTAGGTTAATTGGAGTGAGAAGACCTACCCTGAAAGTGAACTACACCACGTCCCAGGTTTGGGTCCTGGAGTACATAAAAAGGAGAATGCTAAGCCAGCATCAGCATTCATTGCACTTTTCTTCCTGACATTAGACACCATGTCACCAGTTGTGATGAGCTCTTGCTGCCTGATGTCCCAGTCAGGAGAAACTGTACCTCCAAATTGCAACCAAAATAAACCCTCTTTTGTTTAAGTTACTTTTGTTAGGGTATTTTATCACTACAACAATAAAAGCAACTACGACACTACATTCAGGATGAATCTTTGATATTTCAGTAATCCCTTCTGAAAACACCTTCACACATATCAACAGGCACATCCCACCTATCACTTAGGTGATTCCAATCCTAGCCAAGTTAGTGATGAAGATCAACCATCACAGCATGTACCAAAATGTTTATCAAATAAATAAAAATCATAGGTTATTATTTGAAAGAGTTTAGAAAACTTTAGGAGTATAGAACTCTCTCTATAGACCAGGCTGGCTTTGAACTCACAGAAATCCACCTGCTTCTGCCTCCTGAGTGCTGGGATTAAAGGTGTGTGCCACCACTGATGAGCTAGGAGTGTTCTTAAATAAATCCTACATCTCTTATATATTTCCTTCTACACGTTAGTAGAAAAAAAGGCAAAGACAGGAATCTCATCCTCATGTTAGAGGAAAGCACTAACAGATTAATTTCATAGCACTTCATCAGTTGAGATGATTAATGGACTTGGGTCTTCTTGTCATAGTCACAGAGGACTTGGAGTGAATGTGGAGACAAGGGCAGGAGTCACACACCTCTTCTCCTTATGGAACAGAAGTGAAAGAGGAAAGGAAAGAACAAAGGGAGAGAGGGGAAGTGACAGGGAGAAGAGGGAAAGAGAAAGTGAGCGGGTTTTCTGTAACACCAAGAAGAATTGTGAAACACTTTCTCCAGGGAAAAGGAAAGAGCTTTTGTATTGAGCTTTCCATTCCCAGAAGAAATCAATTTTTTGCTTCCCAGGGGGAAACAGGAGGGAGAAGTGGACCCAATAAATTTACTTAAAACAAAACATTTGTTAAAGGTTATTCGAGTAAAGGAGCAATTCTCCCTGATGCTCAGGGCTTCAGATGGTTCCCAACAACATGGGTTACAGTCAGCTGGTGGAATGTGGCTGCTGGCTGTGGTTGCATTTGGCAGACAAAGGCAGCTAAGTCCAATTAAAGACAGTTATTTAACAATTCAAGTCACATAATGGCATCAGCAGCCAGCAAGGGAATTAGCAGAAAGTGTCTCTCTGTGCAGGCACCAGTCACTCCCCTGTGGCTGGAAGTATTGGCACTTTCCAGGGAAGACCTAGCTGTGGGCCTTCCCTATTTCTCTAGGACACCTGTTCTTTTACTGAAATTTCATTGATATATCAGTGTCCCCCCAAAAGGCACCCAAAAATGGATTGTGAAAGACGAGAGACACCCAGAAAAATGAAGATCTATTTTTCTCCCCCTCAGAATTAGCATCATGGAATATTGTTTTGACCTAATGACAGATGATCTATAGCCTTTCTTGGAAGAAACACCTTTATTCAGGTGTAAGTGTAGAATATAAACATTTGGGGGCCAAAAAGGAGGCCTCTGATTCTTTTCTCTAAGTTGCCTGCTTAGCATCCTGACCACCATACTGGTGTTCTTGTCCATGCCAACATTTCTATCATCTGAGATACTTTAAGAAAGCATGCTCCCATGACAAGCAGCATGTGAAGATGCCGGTAAGCCACGAGCCACGTGGCAAGGTATAGATTTATAGAAATGGGTTAATTTAAGATATAAGAACAGGCCGGGCGGTGGTGGCGCACGCCTTTAATCCCAGCACTTGGGAGGCAGAGCCAGGCGGATCTCTGTGAGTTCAAGGCCAGCCTGGCTACCAAGTGAGTCCCAGGAAAGGCACAAAGCTACACAGAGAAACCCTGTCTCGAAAAACCAAAAAAAAAAAAAAAAAAAAAGATATAAGAACAGTTAGCAAGAAGCCTGCCACGGCCATACAGTTTGTAAGCAATATAAGTCTCTGTGTTTACTTGGTTGGGTCTGAGTGGCTGTGGGACTGGCGGGTGAGAGAGATTTGTCCTGACTATGGGCCAGGCAGGAAAACTCTAGCTACAAATGGCGCCCAATGTGTTGGCAAGAGTTTCCACCTAAAACCTGAGAAAAGATTCTAAAATGGAGCTAAAAACAGCTTCCTAGTTGTCTCTCTCAAGTTAGTGGCAGCCTGCAATTTGAGCTACTGGTGGGTTCCTGGCGTGCACACTCCACCTGCAGTTGGGCGGGAATGAGGCCTCTACAAGTGGCACATTAAGCTGTGTGGTGGATTTAGCCTTTGCTAGTACAAAAAAAAAATAGAGGTTTCTGGGCTACACGCTGCTTGGATAAAAGCATAGACCCTCTATTTCTGAGAGTTAATGATTCCCAGAGCTGGCGGAAAACGTACCACCGCCATGTTGGGAAGCTGAAGTGGATGGAGCCAGCAGCCACTGCACTGTTTCAGTCTTGGAATGCTGCAGTTTAAAGCAATAGGCTCAAGGTAATATAAAAAATAAGCCACGTAAAGATGGCTATCACACAGAGAATCTGGATTATGTTCTCTTTGGTATTCATAACTGAAGAAAAACATTTGATTGCAAAAGCTGTTGAGTTATGCCAAAATGTATATTTTAAAGGTACCTTGACTTCAAAATTTGGTTGTAAGGATATGTTGCTTTGGAAAGGAGGCTATGCTTTTGTTTCCACAGAAAGCCAGAGGCTATGGATTTGTTCCAGATTAAGATATATCAGGTTTGACCAGCCAAGACCACCTGAAAGGTCTCTGATGACACCATGGCCCAGATGATCCAATATCCAGAATTATTTCAAGGCAACTGACTCAAACAATACAGCCTCACGGACTACTCCATGATCCTTAAATTTTCTTTGTGTCCCCATAAGATACAGTGCCCCTCTCCAGCAGGAAGTAGTAAGAGAAGCTATGCCCAAATTCGCAAATATACCAAGCTGTCTTTGGAGATGTGTAAAAGTTAAAACCTCCCTTTTTAAAAAAGAAAAGGGGAAGTGCTGTGGGATGGTCTGTATGTCAAATTGCTCTGATTGGTCAATAAATAAAACACTGATTGGCCAGTGGCCAGGCAGGAAGTATAGGCGGGACTAACAGAGAGGAGAATTAAGGGAACAGGAAGGGAAAGGGAGAGAGACACTGCCAGCCGCCACGATGAGAAACAGCATGTGAAGATGCCGGTAAGCCACGAGCTACGTGGCAAGGTATAGATTTATAGAAATGGGTTAATTTAAGATATAAGAACAGTTAGCAAGAAGCCTGCCATGGCCATACAGTTTGTAAGCAATATAAGTCTCTGTGTTTACTTGGTTGGGTCTGAGCGGCTATGGGACTGGGGGTGAGAGAGATTTGTCCTGACCGTGGGCCAGGCAGGAAAACTCTAGCTATACAGGACAGTTTACAAATGGAATTATGAAAGTGTAGCTGCAGAATAGAATCATCAGTCAGCAGCTGCAGAGTGCCCTGGGGATAGGAAGAAAAGCTCCCAGAAGCAGGACCCAGAGTCTTGGCCTAGAGATAGGAAGTGATGTTGGAAGAATTGGCTAGGCCAGTGAACCCTACTTGGCTATCCTCCCTCCTGTTCACCCTCTGAAGGGCTGGAGAGCTGTTTTATATATTTCCTTGACTTTATTTAACTTTTAATTGACAAATAAGAAGCATTTATGTCTGCCACGATACATACCTACATTGTGGAATAATTAAAACAGTGTAATCAATATTTTCATTACCTCATACTCATCATTCACATACTTACCTTTTGTTTATGGTGAAAATATTTCAATTCTACTGCCTTAGCAATTCTGAAGTTCTAGATGCATTAGCAGAACCTACAGGTTGAGATCACTTGAGCTTTCTTGATATCTCTTTGACCTCATTGTTCATCATCTCATTTTTCTTTGTGTACCCTCCTTATCCCATACTGCAAGCCTCTAGTAACCACTATACTCTCTATATCTTATACTCCATTTTTTTCAGATTTCCAAATATAAATGAAAATATCTGGAAGTTTTCCCTTTGTTTGTCTTTTTATGTATGATTTGACTACATGCCAAAAAGATAAAACTAAGTACGTAGGTCACCTAATACATTATATATAATATACTATACAAGAATCAACTCAAAATTGATTTAGGTACTTAAACATAGGACTGAAATTGTAAAGTCACTTGGAGAAAGCAACGAACACCAGTCTGTGCACAGATTTCTTGGCAATGGCCCCAAAAGCAGCAATAACAATGCAAATATATACAAATGGGATCACAACAAACTGAGAAGTCTCTACAAAACAAAGGAAACAATCAGAGTGAAAAGACAACCAACAGAACAAGAGGAACATTTTCAAGTCACACATTCGATAAAACTGTAGTTTTCAATAGCAAAAAAAAAGGAAAGGAATGAAGGAAGGAAAACAAGAAAGGAAGGAAGGGAGGGAGAGAGAAAGACAGAGAGAGAGAGAGAGAGAGAGAGAGAGAGAGAGAGAGAGAGAGAGAGAGAGAGAGAAAGGAAAGCAAGAGAATTTCAAAAGATAAAACTGGACAAAGGAACCAAATAGCTATCTCCCAAAACACATCCTACAAATGGCTAGCAGATCTATATGAAAATGTCCAGCACAAATAAAAATCAAAGAAATTTGAATTAAAGCCACAAAGAGATATCAGTTCACATCCACTAGAGTGTGTATTATCAAAAAGGCAAAAGGTAAGCATAAATGAAAGTGTTAAAAAAAAAAAAGACGGGGGCATTCTTTTCCACTATTGGTAGGAACATAAATTAGTTGTGGAATTTCTCAAAAACTAAAGTTGAATTGCAGTATAACCCAACAATCCATTTTCTGATATTTCCTCAAAGGAAATGAAATCAACAAGTTCCAATTTGACTGAAACACTTTTCATCATACCCAAGGCCCATCAACAGACAAGTGGATGAAGAAAACGTGATATGTATACGCAGTGTGATATTTCACACCTCAAGAAGAAATTCTATCATTTGCAGTGGCATGGATAAATCCACTGGAAGTTTCATTTGAAGTTACCCACGAGGTTGGCTCATAAGCATATAAGGCAGGGATTGGATGGTAGTACTCCTGTCCTTGTCCTTCCCATGCATCTGCGCATCATGTTTTCCTCATCCACTTATCTGTTGATGGGCCTTGGGTATGGTGAAAAATGCTTCAGTCAACCTGGAACTTGTTGATTTCATTTCCTTTGAGGAATCCCTTTTGTGGCCTCCCACTCTGCCTGTCTACAATGTCACTCCTTGAAGCCATGTCTACTTATTCTAGAAGTTTGAGAAAGAAGCCTTCCTACTGCCTCAGGCACTCATCTCTCACAAATCATAGTGATCATAAATCATAGGTTTGTATGTTCCTCCAGCTCCTGCCATTGTTGTGTCACCAGATGGAATCAAGGTGCATTGGAGCCTCCTAGCAGAGAGACATACTGCCCTTCCCAGAAACATGTGGGTCTGAATCACTTAGAGACAGATAGCCTTCACTCCAGAGGCAGAAAGTATGACAAAGCTGAAGAAAAGATCACTCTCAGCAATGTCCCTTATAGAGACAGCAGTGGTCAAGGGACAGGATACAAAGGCACAGGCTTGGTTTTCGTAGGAGTACATGGGGGCCACCTCTGAAGACTACTGGAGACTGAGACAGAACCAGAGCTGAAGGAGAAGAGTGGAGGAGAAGTCAGCTGTGATACCTGCGGGTGCATCCATGTGGCGAGCAGGCAAATTGGAGAAAGCCTGTTATTCATGCTTAGGTGCATGCTAACACTGCTGTTAATACTATGCCAATTTATAAACTTGTTGGATGTCCACTGTTAACTAAAGGACATACTTTCAGTCAGACCAGGATTTTTGTTATTTTGCTTTTATTTATTTGTTTTACTATACAGTTATATAAGGCTATTTTCATGCCAGTATACAATATTCTTTGTGCACACTTCTCTCTATGCTCTGGAACTTTCCATTCCTTTCTCTCCCTGCTTTCATTCTCCTAGACAGTGTTGCTTCACCTTTCACGTCAAATGTATATATATGATTTCATGTATGTTCAAAGACAAGGACCTACAAATGAGAGGAAACATGCAGTATTTGTTTTGTTTCCTGAGACTGACCTAATTTATTTAATATGATTGCCATCAGTTGTATCTGTTTTCCAGCAAATAACACAACTTCATCCTTTCTTCATGACTTGAAACTATTCCATTGTGTATATGCACCACATTTTCTTTCTCCAGTCCGTTGTTGATTTGATACCTTGGTTTGTTCCACAACCATTATAAACTTTTTAGTTATGCAACAAACATCAATGTAAAATTATCTCTGTGACATGTTGACCTGGCATCTTTGGGACAAATATACAACCATTGACTAGCTTGGTTTTGTGGTAGGTCTGTCTTTAGTTGTTTGAGGAACCTAAATACTGATTCTCACTAGCAGTAAATAAGGGTTCACCAATATTTCTGCATTTGTTTGTTTATAAGATTATGATTTTTATTTTTATTCGGGTGTGTGCTTCCATGTGTGCATGTGTGTGTGTGTGTGTGTGTGTGTGTGTGTGTGTGTGTGTGTGTGTGTGTTTACAAGAGTGCTCAGAGGCTACAAAGTAGGCATCAGATTCCTTGGAGCTTGAGTTACATGCATTTGTGAGCCACCTGATGTGTGCTTGGATCTGAATGCTCTTTCTCTGATAGATCAATGTGTTCTTAACTTCTGAGCCATCTCTCCAGTCCTGACATTTGTTTTCTTAACAACTACCATTCTGACTGAGGTGAGATACAATCTCAATATCATTTCTATT